GAAAAGATTCAGAAGAATAGTTCCAAGACTGAGAAACTTCAGTGACATGGATAGAGTGGAGCACCCAGAGCTATTTGCCTCGAGAAAAAGTTGAGATTTGATCAAGGTATTCAAAATGACGAGGGGTCTGGACAGACTTGGGAGGGAGAAACTCTTTCTATTGGTGGGAGGAGAGATTAGATTTAAATCGAAAGAAGCAATGGAAACAGGAGAAAACTTTCACGCAGCAAGCAGTTGGCTTCTGACCTAGAGTATGGGGTGGAGAAAGATTCAAGTTGAGGTGCAAGGTAGGAAAACTGGATTATATGTAAAAAGAAAGAACACAGGCCTATGAGAAGGGAGAGAACATCATTATGTGCACTGCTCATTCAGAGAGCCAGCAGAAATAAAGCAGGCTCAAATTGTTGATGCTATAACAATTCTGCAATGAGCTGAGGATCTTGTATCACTCTTTCAAACAATTCACGCTATTAAACAAATGCAAACATCTCCCAAAACTATTTGGAAACCACAAGAAATGGCACTCTAGTTCTGAACACAATATAAAAGGATAAAGTTTATTGTTTTTGGAAATATTATTCCATACAAAGGTTTTTTGCCATCGATGATAAATCCATGTAGTACCAACATACAGCAACACCCAACTGTACATAGCTTGCCAACAGATGTGATTTAATGGGGAGTGGGGTGGCAAAATGAGGATGTGTCAGAACAATGGAGGTGCCACCAATTGGCTAAGGAACTCAAATGAAAGTCAGTGCTGTGAATATCCCAGGGGAATGGAGAACAAAACAATTTTTAAAAAAAATTTTTAAGCACTTCCATTCATTATGGGGAAAAAAAATTATTTTTAATCCAATCAGATCCATTCTGTTAGGAATGGAAGGGGAGGTCATGTGATGCGATCTCCAGGAATGCGTCTGTCTTGAGTTGGCAACCGAAGGCTCCAATCTGAATGGGGAGCAGGAATGTGCTGAGCAGTCTTGCCTCCTAGAACAGGTCAAAGTCTACGCAGGGTAAGCCCAAGTTTCTGACTTACCAGAGCCCCAGACTTCTCATAATTAGAGACTGCAACCAAGACACAGTGTGGCAAGGAACAGGCTGACACCACAGACACTTCTCTCCCCTCTAACCCCCCAGACAGATCAATCTTGTCCCTCCCCAGTTGCCTGCACTATACCTGCCATCACAGGAGTCTTCCCAATTATTTGAAACCTGTGGGCTAGAGTGCACAGCATACTATTCACTGGGACCTAGCACTGTATTGTGCACTCACTAGTCCTGGCACTGGTCCAAAAGTGGAACTGGGACAGTTATGTCCTTGATATCTGAAGAATGGCAGCACATACACAGGCAATTTATCCACGAAACGTTCAGTGTCTAAAGCTAAGATGCTGATCATTGGTTTACCACAATCCCATCATGAGCAAGCCAACATCTCATCCCTCTCATCCTTCACACTCTCGGGATTACTGATGAGGAGTGAGGAAATTGAGGTTTGACCCTCTGTCTCAAGTTCAGAATATTGATGCTACGTACCAAGGTCCCACAGTCACTACTCCTGTTGAGGACAGCTAACACTGGAGGGAGGAGCAATTGCATCTGCAGCCTTCCTAGTTGGGCAAACACCTGAAAAACTGAGACACTGTGGTTTATCTTGTGGAGAAAAGTTGGACACTTTACCCACTGGTGTTTAGAAGAATGAAATGATCTCAGTGAAAGACAAGATCTTCAGGAGTGGTGACAGAATGGATGGTGAAAGGATGTTTCCCCTTCTGAGGGAGACCAGAACCATGGGACAGAGTTCAAAAAATAAGAGATCACTTTTTCTGAGACAGAAAATATTTCTTCTCTCAGAGGATCATCAGTCTGGGGAAGTCTTTTCCACAGAGAGCTGTGGTGGGAGTAACTGGGTTATTGAATTTATTCAAGACTGAGTTAGAGGGATTTTTGATGGTCATGGGACTCGGGGGCTTCTGGGGGAGGGAAGGGGGGAAAGAGGAAGAAGCAGGAATGTGGGGTTGAAACCACAATGAGATCAGCCATGATCTTAGTGAATGGCAGAGCACATTTGCAGGGCTGAACAGCCTACTCCTGCTCTAAGTCCTATGTTCACTATTGAGGAATAGCGGGGGGAGGGGAACAAAGGAGTAGACGGCGGTAGTGGGGGTGGGGGGGTCAGTGAAGGCCTGCAACACAATAACTGCCTTAATAGAGCTGTACGGTACAAAGGAAAATAACCAATTTATCAGCTGACAAATCATACAAACACAGTAGAAATGCTGCAGTGCGTAGTGGGGGTTCAGGATTGGCTGGCATTAATCATGTGGTTTCATAGTAGTCCTGGTGTATGCGGAAGCAGCAGACGAGAATAGGATGACTTTCCACTTACAGGCAGTAAACAGTGAACACTGGGATGGGGCAGGGGATTGGGTTCAGAATAGGAGCATTCGCTCCCTCACCTTGTGGACTTAAGGGGAGCACCAAGGAGCGTTGCCTGACCCATGGCAGTGATGATGCTAGTGGTAGTGAGGCAGATCTACACACAGGGTAGGACAGCTTCAATACCCACTCCACATGATGATTGCTATCATTTAGGAGGAAGGGCAACAAGGTTAGTACACAGGAGGAGTCTCTGCTCTGTCTCATGTCTCATTTGCGCAGTGTCACAATGTCACATTCGCCAAATTGAACCAGGGAGGCAGTATGGGCACTAACATTGACATGGTGTCCTGAACTTAGAGAGAGTGACAGGAGGGGGAAGAAAACTCTAGCTGGTTTAAAAAATTACCAAGCAAGAGTTGGATGTTTTGGAGATGTGTGTGCATCACCATCAGTCAACATCTACTCAAGAGTTATAGCGTAAACACCGTTTGAACAGACCGAGAATGGTGGTTGAAAGGTTCAACATAAAGGTTGCTCTATAAAAACAGCAGCAAACACCATTTCTGTCAAATAATTATGTCCTGGCACAATCAGGAAAATCATGGCTCCAGGATTCCTTTCAGTGGTTATAGGAGAAAAATACAACTGATTGACCAAATTATACTTGCTAAAAAAATTAACCAAATTTACCACACAATTTGATTGTTTTGTTGGCCATTTGAGTTGATCCCATCTCAAACTACCCAAGCAGCTGATTTTATTGATTTCTATTTAGTAGTTGCAGCACCAACAATGAGGCTTTGCTACAAATCTGCACCCCGCGCCCCCAATCAAGAAAAAAAAAAACTACAAACAAAAATCAGAAATTCTTGGAAAAAAGAGAGTTAATGTTTCAGGTCCAGTGACCCTTCCTCAGAACTGTTCTGAGGAAGGGTCACTGGACCCAAAATGTTAACTCTACTTTCCACAGATGCTGCCAGACCTGCTGAGTTTCTACAGAATTTTCTGATTTTGTTTCTGATTTTCAGTGTCCGCAGTCTTTGGTGTTTTTTTTTTAAAATAAAAAGGGAAAAAACACATGCTGGAGGTGACAAAGCACAGAAACTGACAAATACTGGCACTGATCAATAAACTGAGGTTTGTTGGGGTGGGGGGGGGGGGGGGGGGGCGGTTGCGGGGAGTGGTTGAAAGCTCACCAGTTAGGAAATGAAAAGAGAGTGGAACTTCCTCCCACAAACCACTATTAAAGCCACTTTCATAAATTCTTTGAGAAAGAATAAGCCACTTTAAAAAAGGAATAAGGAATTGCGTACATGGTGAATTTAGATGGAGAGCTCATATACAGGAACATTCAATGTTTCTCTGCTCTGACTTCCAAGGTTTGAGTTCTAAAGCAAAGTACACCCACTTTAAGTGCTAACCCGTCTTCTGCTTTCCACCGTTCCTGCCACCTTTATTTTAAATCAAGAAAATGTGCTTAAAAGCAAAAAAAAATCACTGAAGCCTAGCAGTCTGACGCAGGCAATGCCAAGACGGAACTGCATCTTCCAAAGTTAGTCTCCTGACCTGCCCTCCAGGACCAGGATCGCAGGCCGTGATTAACCCCAACTGGTCAAATTAATAAAGGCTAAACCTCACCAACCCAAAACACTCAAGTGTGGAAAAAGTTACACAAAAATCCTTTTCTTTTGGGGAGGGGGGAAAAAGAAGGGAGGAAGTAAAGAAGGAAAACTGCAATCTCCACGCGCTCCTTGGACCTGGCCTTAGCCTGGCAGTTCACAGAAAGCAACCCCAATTCGAGCAACAATCAATCTCAGTAAATAAATAACAAGATAGGTCCATTCATTTTCAGCTAACAATAAAAACAAGTTTGCAAGTCATAACTAGGTGGCAGCTGTATAAAGACAATAGCTCACAGTTGCCAGTGTGATCTGCTGTTAACTGTGGACTTTGTCAAGCACATACACCCAAACTCTTCCTACTTGGGGGTGGAGACACTTATTTACATGCAGCTTCCCAGATCCTGCATTGTCTTCCACTACAGAACTAAAGCGCATGCAGTACATGTTCCATCCTGAATGCAAAGAATATTGGAACAAAGCAGCCAAAATATTCAAGGCGGAGACGCTTTCCTGAACCAAACAACTGCTTTAAAATAAAAAAAAACCTGGGGAACATTTAGTCTAAACTAAAACAAAGCTTAGGAGTTCAATGGATTATAATTAAAATAATTAAGCAAGGAGCTCTTGCTGCAGAGTTGTGTAGAACTCAGAACAACATTCTTCCCAAAAACTGAGTATAACATCATGGCTCTGTACCAAAACCCTTTTCAAAAAACTTAAATTTTAAAAATGAAAATATTATTCTCAGCTCTCAAGTTGCGGTGTGTTAGGGAAGTGATTCAAAATGGCTGTGTACATATAGCTTAAAAAAAATCATCTTTTGTTCTTTAACAAAAAACTTTCACCTTTCTCTGAAAATGAAAGGGCCTTTCTCTCTCTCCCACGCCCCACTCCCCTCAATTATTTTCAAGAATTTAGTGGAAAATTAGGACCAACTTGTCTGGTTGCAAAATACATGATTCACTGTCATGTGACCAAAGTGAGATTGTTGCAGGATTAATTACTTGGCCACAGGTAAAACTTATTGGTTTAAACATTTTTTTTGGCAGATTTCAGAGGAGCTTGTGTATCACTGCAGAGGTCTCGGGTGCTCAGAATCGCAGGCCAGGTCAAAGTGTCTCAAAGTGGAGTCAGCACACGGAGAACTTAGATGTCCATCTCGAACTGAGCATCATCCCCTAGAAAGAAAGAGTGTATCACAGGTCAATATTCTGGTGCCTTAACTAGTTTAAGTGGAATCTGAGGAGGCAAAGGTAGGAAGCTCAGCTGAAACTTAAGCAAAAAAAGGGTAAGTCTTGCAACCTTGGTGTACACTGCTACAAAAAAAAGAGAAACAACTGCAATCTTGGCTCTGTTTATGGCACCCTTGCCAGAAGGGTGCAGCACTGAGGGGGTGCGTTGCAAGGGGCATGGAGACCTTTCGGACAAGGCCTTAAGCCATGGTCCCATCTGCCCTCGGGACTATTTCAAAGAAGAACAAAAGGAAGTCTCCCCAGTGTGCCGGTCAACATTCAACCTTCCACCAACATTATTAAACAGGGCACAGGGATAGGCCATTCAGCCCATCAAGCCTGCTAAATCATGGCCAATCATCTACCTCAATGTCAATTTCCCACACAACTCCATCCCATAAAAAAAATCAGATTATTCTGATGCTGTTTGTGGGAAATGGCTACACGGCATATTGATTACCTCATTCTCCGCTTTAAAACACTGCCTGCACTTTCAAAAGAAAGTAATTAGTTGGCTCTAAAGCACTTTGGTCACAAAAGGCACTATATAAATTCAAATGCTCTTTCAGCGTGATGGGACCCACGCCGATATTATAGGCTTAGTAAGCCTTGACTAAATTTAGACACAAACCTTACTGAGAGTTTGAAGAATTAAATTTTGCATTTACGTACTGACTTGCACATCCTCAGGATATCCCACACCACTTCACGGCCAATTAATTACAGTTGGGTGAAGTTGCTGCTGCAGGTACTGATGCAGGAAATGCCAGGCTCTTCCTCTGGCTCAGATGGCAACTGGGTTCATGCTTCTTGCCAAAGCCACACGTACATAGCGTTCTCAGTCACCCCCACTGCGTCAGTCTTGCATCCACCATTACAACTGCAGTTGGCACCAACCAGCTACAGAGGGCTTTGGGGCACATAGAGATTGCAATTGGTGCCTTGGAGATCCATGCCTCTCTTTTGGCATCGGTAGAACAAGATTGTGCAAACATTGAATCATAGAATCCCTGCAGTGCAGAAAAACACCATTTGGCTCATCAAGTCTACAGTGACCCTCCAAAGGGCATCTGACACAAACCAAACCAACCCAATGCCAACCACCCCCCTCCAAACCCCACACACACACACACACACACAGTAACCATGCATTTCCCATGGCTAATCCATTTAGCCTGCATATCCCTGAACACTATGGGCGATTTACCACGGCCAATCCATGTAACCTGCACATCTTTAGACTGTGGGAGGAAACCCACACAGACCCAGGGAGAATGTCTAAACTCCTCACAGACAGTCACCGCGGGTGTAATTGAACCCTGCTCCCTGGCAGTTTAAGGCAGCAGTGCTAACCACTGTGCCACCATACTGCCCCTGAATGAGATAAATATGCAGATAATCTTGCTTTGGTAATAAAGAAAAACAGAAAATGATGGAAATACTCAACATGTCTGGCAGCAGCTAGAAAAAAAAAAGTTCACACTTCAACTCCTATCACAACAATCTTTAATTACTTCAGACTTCCAGCATTCGTAGCAATTTGCTTCTGATGTTGGCTGAAAGATTGGCAAGAAAGAAATTTAAAAAAAAAAAAAAAAAAATCGATCAGTCAGGTCACTGTGCAGAACTTCCTTGCTCTTCTTCAGGGGAATCATCAATATTCACCCGAGGAGATGAATTCAAGTTCAGGTTTAATGTTGCGTCTGGAAGACAGTACAGCAGAAACTCAGTACGACACCGAGTCAGCTGGTTGGATGTGTGTCAGCCTCTGGTCTTGAACCCATAACCTTCTGATAGAGAAGGTTCTACGAGAGGGGGCCAGTTTCTGCTCTTAACCCCATGTACAAAATAGTTACGGTTTAGCTGACACATATAATGTACATGGGTTTGGGGGGAGGGGGGGTGTGGGGAAAGAGACCTTCACTAAACTGCCCTTATTTACACAGTTGCAGCTGTGCTAAAAGCTTGCTCTGCAAAGAGTTTTTGTTTAAAGCAGTAGGCAGAATCTTGACTAACAAGGGAGTGTAAGGGAATCAGTGTTCAGCAGGTTAGTGGGGTTGAAGTCACGGTCAGATCAGCCATGATCTTATTAAGTGGCGAAGCAGGTTTAAGAGCCTGATTTGAACTGACATGCTGGTACATAATACCCTGAAACATACTGAAGTAGCTGAAGGTGATTTCCCCTGCATAATAAAAGGAGATGAACACTCAGGACAACAGTTTGAACAACTGAGTGAAGACTGGATCCAAAGGTCTGAGCTTTAAGGACAGAAAAGAAGCAAGGCAGAGAAATTCAGGGACTGAGGTGCGCCACTAATGCAGGGGGCAGAGGAGTTAAGATTTGGAGAGGAGATGGAACACCGCAGAAAAATTCAAAGCTTGGAAACATTCACTTAATTGCTCACACAGAAAATTCCACAGAAATTCATTTCAGGTACATTGCTCATTCCTTCTAAATAAATAAATAACAAAGAGAAAGAAAAGTTACTCCATCACAGAAATCTAACTTCAGAAAAAAACAGAACTATTCTATTGTAAATAGAATAATCCATTAATGAATCCTTCCTGATCCATAAATCAGCCTGCCTTTCCACCCTCCTTTGTGACTGCTACACTTGGAGCTAACGCATAAGGCTTCAAACTTTCTGACCAGATGTTGGATTTTCTCATTTGCAATTACAAAGTTTCAACAAATTGGTTCTATCACTTTTTGGCAGGGAGAGCTTGGAGAAGTGGATTCTGAAAGGATGCGTCCCTCATGGTGGGGGAGGGGATGGGAGAATTTACAACCACTGAGGGCACACATTTTAAAGATTAGGGGGTTCTCCCATTTAAAATGGGAATGAGGAGAAATTTCTTCCCTTTAGTCTTTGGAATTCCCTATCACAGAGAGCAGCGGAGACAGGATCACTCAAGGCCAAGTTGGGTACATTTTTGACAGACAAAAGAGTCAAAGATTATGAGGTTAGGAAGTAGAAAAAAGTGAAGCTATAGGCCATAATCAGATCAGCCATGATCTCAGTGAATGGCACAGCAGGCTCAGGGGCCTACTCCAGCTCTCACTTGCCACAATTAGCGATTTGGCAGATAAATAGGAATGAGTGCAAGCGTAGCCGTGTCTGGCTGAAACGGCACTAGGCACCCGTAGCCTCCAACACTGACCAAGCAATGAAAATGATTTAAAATCCTAGCGGTGCCTAGTGATTCTCAAATCAAGAGAAAATACTCATGGTCCAAGAAGAGATGCATGAGGAAGGAGGGAGCTAGGGGAGGGGTGTTAAAGAAAAAGGAGAAATGTTTTGGTAAAAACAAAGGAGAAAGTGCAATCAGATAAGACAGAACATAGGAGTGCACATCAAAATGCATATGTAGGAAGAAGAGTTCAATTTGTACTACTTTTGGGAACTAGTAAGTTTTGGGAGCTAACCGTGTCTGGCCAGCTGCACTTGCAAAACTCATAAGACTGTACTTAACATTCAATAGGATTTGACAACAGGATTGTTTCGCCAATGCATCCAAAATAACTCCTCTACTAATCAAAATCCATTTGTTAACCAACTCGTACTCTTTCCTCACACAGTATAAATATTGTTTTCCCTTTACACTGGTACTTTTTTTGCCAATTATCTTGACAAGTACACAACAAAAATCTTTGACAAAATTAGTGTTTTTTTAGCAATACTCTCATTCTATATTACCAAATGATGGTAATAGCAATTACAGTAGTAATGATTACACTATACAGACGTGTAACTGTGTTCATTGCATCTGGATACTGTTAATCCATATTGCTCCCTGGTATCACTCATCATTTCTGCCTCGTAAATATTAGGATTAAAATCAGATTAAACTGTAATCATTCTTAAATATCACTGAATCTCACCGGCAGTGGTCTTCCTCTCACGGTTGGTGTTATCAGCACAGTGGCCAGAATCATTCACATCTATCTTGGCATCATCAGTGGTGCCAGGCGTAGTCACACCTGGGATGTGTGGGAGATAACGGGGAGGGGTCTTGGCAACTGGGGAATGGCGACACTCCATCAGAAACTTCCGATCGTAAATTATTCGGGTTCCTGAAAGGAATTAAACAAACGTCACTGGATATACCAAATTCACACGAGGTGGTCCAACTCTGTTTCCCACCTCCTCGGGTGTTTTCGGACAGCACAGTTATTACACCAAAAACAAATTGCGACAAGACGTTTCAGGAACAGACAAACACACGAATTAAAGGGGAGTAGGCCATTCGGCCCCTCAAGCCTGATCTGCCATTCATTAAGATAATAATCAATTTGCTTACGGCTTCAACTCCACACTGTCAGCCTATTTTTGATAACAATTCACTCTCATCTTCAAGAAGAATCTACTGACGTGTTGAAAACAAAAGAATTGCATGACACAAGATATTCCGAAAAAATTCTTCTCCATCTTAAATCGGAGATCGTTTATTCTGAATCTATTGCAGCCTCTTGCACAATGAGAAACATCCTTCAGCATCCAACCTGTCAAGTTCCCTCAGAATATTATGTGCTTCAATAAGATCACCAAACTTTAATAAGCCTAATGAGATCAAACATCATTCATTCACCATTTTGGGAAAAATAAATCAAGGACTCAGAACCTGCTGAGCAGCCTATGCCCATGGTACCAGAGCTAACAGACTTAGTATTTACTAGTCTTTGAAGAAATGTAGGTACTGCTTTTCTGGCTGGGCCAGAATTTGGTACCCATCCCTAATTGCCCTTTGGAAGGTGGTGGAGAAAAAGTCTTTTGCGAACCACTGCAGCCCATCTGGTGTATGGTCACCTACAATGCCGTTATTAAGTTTCAGTATATTCACAGAATCATAGAACATAGAATCATAGAGCGTAGAAGCAGACCATTTGGCCCTTCAAGTCCACACCAACTCTCCAAAGGGCATCTCACCCAGACCCACCCCCACCCCCCACCTTATCCCTGTAACCACGCATCTCCCAAGGCTAATCCATTTAGCCTGAGATGGGGAACTGGCAGTCAGAGAGTCAGACCACTGCCTAGAAATAGGAAGTGAGGAGCAGGAAGGGCATAGAATCAGAACCCCTACACAATGTGGAAGCAGGCCATTCAGCCCATTGAGTCCACATCCATCCTCCAAACAGCATGCCATCCATTCCCACCCCTCTACTCTATTGTGACAATAAAGGATATTCTATTCTATCCCTGTGACCCTGCATCTCCCATGGCTAATCCACAACCCTAGACACTATGGGCAACTTAGCATGGCCAATCCACCCAACATGCACACCTTTGCACTGAGGGAGGAAACTGGAGCAAACTCATGCAGACAAGGGGAGAATGTGCAAACTCCACACAGACAGTCACCCGAGGCTAGAATCAAACCCAGGTCCCTGGAGCTTTGAAAGCAGCAGTGCTAACCACCGAGACACCATACTGCCAATTTTATCCCAATGATAGTGAAGGAAGAGTGACATATTTCCACGTTAGAAAGATGAGTGGCTTGGAGGGGAACATGCAGGTGGTGGTGTCCCCAAGTACCTGCTGTTTTTGTCCCAATTGGTCCTAGAGGTTGTGGGATTTGGAACTTGGAGACTATGAGAGACTGTGGTGAGCTCCTGGGGGTTGAGTGGAGTGACATGAAGGGGTTTGAAGAGTATATTTAGGCAGAAAGCAATTTCCATTGAGGTGCACTTTGGTACCAGAAGACACGGATTTAAGGTCACAAATTGATGAAGCAGTGGGAAATGGGAAATATTTTTAAATTATTCAATACAGGGGCTTTGTGTGATCTAAAATCCTGAATGAAAAGGTGAAGGAGCAAATGCAGTAGCAGCTTTCCAAACAAAATTGGGCAAGTTTGTCAGGATATGACAGGACAAAGATACTAACCAGTGGTGTCAGAAGGGCTAGTACAGACATAATGAGCTGAATGGTCATATTCTTGGCTGTGGGATTCCACGACTCATACCTAGTTTTCATCAGGCCTCACCCAGTGACCTGCCTATTGTTCACTCCTTAGCCTAAGGCCTAACTTCTCTGATTTACTAAAGCAGCATTGTTCAACAGAAAATATTGCTCACAAGTCACAGGTGGGGCTATGGTGACACCTGTTCAGATACATGCAGTAATTATAGCACGCAATGGAACGAAGAGTCTAATGACGGCCATGAAACCATTGTTGATTGACCGAGAAACCTAATATCCTTTCAACAAAGGAAACTGCCATCCCTACCCAGTCTAGTATGTGCTGCGGTGGGCTTTGAACCTGGGTCTCCGGAACATTACGTAGGTCTTTAGATTAACAGTCCACTGATGGAGAACCCTGTGACAGGCAGTCAGCATCACTGAGAGAAACGGGCAAGGTGAGAATCTGTGAGAGGCAGTCTGCATCACTCGAGGGAGTAGTTGTGGTAAGGATGCTGTGCCAGTCAGTCAGCATCACTGAGAAGAGTGGGTGAGGTGGGGAATTGGGACAGGCAAGTCTGATCACAGAGGAGCAAGCGAGGACCCTCACAGAGAAGCAGAAAACACTGGTGGCAGACGAGTGGAACTTGTGAAATAAACACAAATAAGATTCTTCTAGTGCTAAAGTTGATAGATGAGGGAAGGGCTGTAGACGTCATATACATGGACTTCAGTAAGGCGTTTGATAAGGTTCCCCATGGTAGGCTGATGGAGAAAATGAAATCGCATGGGGTCCAGGATGTACTAGCTAGATGGATAGAGATCTGGCTGGGCAACAGGAGACAGAGAGTTGTAGTGGAAGGGAGTTTCTCAAAATGGAGAACTGTGACCAGTGGTGTTCCACAGGGATCCGCGTTGGGACCACTGTTGTTTGTAATATACATAAATGATCTGGAGGAAGGTATAGATGGTCTGATTAGCAAGTTTGCAGATGACAGGAAGATTGGTGGAGTAGCAGATAGTGAAGGGGACTGTTGGAGAATGAAGCAGAATATAGATAGATTGGAGAGTTGGGCGGAGAAATGGCAGATGGAGTTCAATCCAGGCAAATGCGAGGTGATGCATTTTTGGAAGATCCGATTCAAAAGCGAACTATATGGTAAATGGAAAAGCCCTGGGGAAAATTGATCCACAGGGAGATCTGGGTGTTCAGGTCAAGTATACCCTGAAGGTGGCAACGCAAGTCGATAGAGTGGTCAAGGAGGCACATGGCATGCTTTCATTCATAGGGTGGGGCATTGAGTACAAGAGTCAGCAGGTCATGTTACAGTTGTATAGGATTTTGGTTCGACCACGTTTGGAATACCGCGTATAATTCTGGTCGGCACATTACCAAAAGGATGTGGATGCTTTGGAGAGGGTGCAGAGGAGGTTCACCAGGATGTTGCCTGGTATGGAGGGCGCTAGCTATAAGAGAGGTTGAGTAGATTAGAATTATTTAAAGTAGAAAGATGGAGGTTGAGGGGGGGACCTGATTGAGGTCTATAAAATCATGAGAGGTATAGATAGGGCAGATGGCAAGAAGCTTTTTCCCCCCCAGAATGGGGGACTCAATTACTAGGGGGTCATGATTTCAAGGTGAGAGGGGAAAAGTTTAAGGGAGATATGCATGGAAAGTTCTTTATGCAGAGGGTCGTAGGTGCCTGGAACGTGTTGCCAGCGGAGGTGGTAGAGGCGGGCACGATAGCGTCATTTAAGATGCATCTAGACAGATACATGAATGGGCAGGGAGCAGAGGGATACAGATCCTTGGAAAATAGGCGACAGGTTCAGATAGAGGATGTGGATCGGCGCAGGATTGGAGGGCCGAAGGGCCTGTTCCTGTGCTGTAATTTTCTTTGTTCTTTGTTCTAAAGAGCAAAATAAAAACAAAGGGTTCTTTTTTACTCATTCATGGGATGTGGGCATCATTGGCTAGGCCAGCATTTATTGCCCATGCCTAATTGCCCAGAGGGCAGTTAAGAGTCAACCATATTACTGCGGCTCTGGAGTGACACGTAGGCCAGACCATATAAGGATGGCAATTTCCCTACCTAAAGGATTTAATTCAGTTCAGATTCTGGGGAGGTCAAGCCTCTGATTTGCACATCCTGCTCTATGAGGGAGATGCTAGATGCCCCCTGGTGGTCTGGATGACCATGTGCAGGAGGGGCCTGGAGAAACTCGAGCTCTGGGTTTTGGAGCTTGAGCAGCAGCAGCGGGGGCCGCTGCAGTGTATGGACAAGGCGGAGAGGTTCACGTCAGCACCTTTCGGTGTGTGCTCACCCCACAGGCTGATAGAACTGCAGCGAGAGAGGGAATGGGTAACTGGACAGGACGGGAATCAGGAGGTCGTGAGGGAATTCTTCCCCCAAGTGCACCTTGCTCACAGACACCTTTTCAACACAGCAAAGTGGAGAGAGTGATGGTTCCCCTGTGGAGGCCAGGGCGCTGTGGGTGTGGAGGGGCAGAAGGAAGGGTGGAAGGGCAGAAGGGCAGAGGTATGGAATGTGTTACTGGGAAGGGAACAGACAGGTATTTCTGCTGTCGTAGACATGACTCCAGGACAGTACACTACCTCCAGAGTGCCCAGGTCAAGAATATCAGAACACCTGGAGGGTATTCTGAGGGGAGAGGGTGAACAGCCAGAGATTGTGGCCCACAGTCGATCCAACGACAAAGCAAGAAAGAGATACAAGACTGCAGGCAGACAGGAAATCAAAAAGCTGGACTCAGGTAATAATCTCCAGGTGATTCCTAGTGCCACACAATAGTAAGTATAGGAACAGGAGACAGCAAATGAATGGGTGGCCAGAGAGGTAGTACAGGGCAGAGGACTTTAGATTTCTAACACATTGGGACTGTTTCTGGAGGTGGGGAAACAGGTTATATCTGATCAGGAATGCAATCAATACCTCTCAGAAGTTGGGGTTGGGGGTCGGTGGATCCTGACAAATAGTTCAGACAGGTAGGGGATGGGAAGGGAACAGAAGCCAAGATAAGGTAAGGTTATACGTGAGCAAGTGAGTCTAGAAGCAGGGAGAAAAAAGGCTAGGTAAGAAAGAAATGAGTTTAGCAAGGCTAAATATTTTAATGCAAGGAACTGGAAGAAGTAGTCAAACGAATTGAAGGC